GACTCTGATGTTATTAACATTGTATCTGATGTTATTAACATTGTAATGGGACCTTTCAGTCTATAAGAAAACTTTTAGGACTAAACAGTGCATAAGTTATTAATTTGGGATTTATTGGTGCATACCCCTATACATTTCCCTAATCATTGTTTTAATTAAAAAAATAAAAATAATAATAATAAGTTATGGTTGAAATTTAGGGAATTTGGGGGTGAAGTTAGGGATTTGGGGGGGAGCATCGCGCGGCAGCCAACGGGAAGAAGAAGGGTTTTTATTTTGGACTTTTTACGACGGTATGATGTACACCGTCGCAAATAGAAGGCAAAACGGTGCCGTTTGAATTAATCCTTTTTTGCAACGGTAAATTTCCGTCGCAAATGATATATGCCGTCTCAAAAAACAGGTTTTTTGCGACGGTTTTATTTACCGTCGCTAATACTTCCGCATTTCCGACCCCTCCGCTTGGTTTCATTACCGACGGGTCAGTACCGTCGCTAAAGTCTAGTATTTGCGACAGGTGCAGTTACCGTCGCAAAAAACTGTTTTTCGCGACGGGGGCCGCGGCGTCGCTAAAACTCCGTGTTATTTGCTATGTTTTCCTGTAGTGTATCTAACAATTCTATGGATGGGTGGCCAAGCCCTCCACATCCACAAAGTAAGAAAAAGCAAGGAAAATAAAGAGATTACATCATCTATAAAAGGGTGGCTAAGCCCTCTACTCCTATAAGTTAAATTACATATTTAAGGACATGAACACCTTGAAAACAAACTGTTTGATAAGAAAAAATGAGAGAAAATGGATGAAAGAGCTTCAAAGTTTACTTTGTATGCGAAGAAGACTTTTTTACTGTCAAACTCTTTTTTTAGCACCGTCAAAGCTCTTGAAGATAGCTTGGAATCTTAGCAAGAATCTTAAAGTTCAAGCTTCAATGTTGTTTAGGTCATGGGTATATCAAGGAAAAAGGTGGAAGATTGAGAAGATGAAGACTAAAAGTTGGTGTGGTGTACAAGCATTAGGAATTGCTCTCTAAGTCTCAAGAAAATTTCTCAACCCTTGCAAATGAGCCCACGAGGTGTATTTATAGACTTTTGGGACACAAAATATCTAAGATATTTGTGTAAAACTTGCAGAGGAAGCAGAATGCTTTGTACTCGGACAATTCATCCGGCCAAACAAAAAATCATTTGGCTAGATGATTTTTTGAAGAGGAAAACAGTTTTCTTTCTTTCTTTTTTCTAGAAAATTCTCATTCTTTCCACCCATTTCTATTCTATCCTTTGCTCAGTTCAATGAAAAAGTATAACACTTGGAATTTAAAACGCAAACATTATAGAAATGTTTAGAACCACGCAACCAAAACATTTTGAAAAAGACTTTTGAATAGGTCGAAAGATAGTTTGGCCAAAATGGATGTAAGGTTAAGCTTAAAGCTTGAACCCGACTTTCTTACTAAGGAATTTACAAGATAGCATATTCCAACTTTTATCATTGGGTAACCCTTTTTATCACCACCATTGCCAAAACCTTTTGACTTCTAATCCCATTGATGCCACCACTTCCATTTCCAAACTTCTTTTGACCTCACCAACTCACCCCAATCTCTTTACCTATTGCTACTAACTACCATTTCCCTTTATCTCTTTCGTCCCTTTCATTTTTATTTCTTTTGCAACATCTCTTGTCAACTTCCATTGTCACCATCTTCCATCTTTATCCTCATCCTTTATCTTTTTCTTCGTTACACTTTTTCATATATATATATATATATAAGCGACTAGGGTTTCAGATCATGGTAGTGATGATTAGGGTTTGGAAAGTAGAAGGTATGTGTATTGAGGTTGGGGTTTATAAAAGGAGAGATGAAGGAGGAAAAATAAGAGGGAGATAAGATGCGAGAAAAATAAGTTGGGGAAAGAGAGATCGAAAGGGTTTGGTGGCAGTGGTGATGAAAGAGAAATGGCTGGATTAGAATAATGAGGCTGGAAGAATGGTTGACGATGGTAGGAAAAAGGATTGGGGAGGTCGAAGGGGGTTGGTGGCCATAGTGGAAGAAAAAAGAAGTTAGGGGGGAAAGGGGTCTGAATAAGTAGGCGTGGAAAAGATTGGCGGATGATTAGGAAATGTAGTGAAAGATTGGTCAATGACTAGAAAGGGTAGAAAAGGTGTGGTTGCCGACTAAATAAAAGTGAAAAGAGGTTAGGAAAAGAGGAAAAAAGGATCAGAAAGGGGATTAGGGGCAAAAACTAAATGTAATAATATTGTAATTTTATTCATATTTTTTAAATTTCCAAAAATGAAATTATTTTATATTCTCATTTCCTCTTCGTTAGTTGTTATGAATTTAGTGATCAAAATGAATAATGTTGAATTCATGTCATGTTATCTCTCCATGTGACTTTTTTGATGAGCCTCTCTTTCTTTCCATATGGAATGTTCTGAATAAATTCAAACTTGAAATGGATCTTTTTGATTCTTGAATAATGAAGGGCGAAGGAATTGTTCGAGAAAGATCTCTTATTCTTATTATAAGATCGTGATTAGAGAGCAGAGTCGAGAGGTTGTCCTCGCTCCCAGGAGTGAGGGCGGAGTAATGTTGATATTTCAAGATTACAATACAGTGAAATGTCCTTAAGTCTCATCCCACTACTACAAAATCATAAATAAATCATACTTTTTATATGTGATATATGTTATTTAATCACACGTTTTAAATTTTGTCAAAGTGTGATCTTTGAGAGTGTGATTAAAAAGTGTCATTTTTAATCACACATTTTAAGTGTCATTAAAAAATGATTTCATCACACGTTATGCGTGTGATAATAAATATTTAGATCACCCTTTTTACATGTGATAATAAATATTTAAATCACACTTTTTATGTGTAATAATAAACATTTAAATCACACTTTTTATGTGTAATGCATAACTAATAAAACATGTGATTAATAATGAGATAAGATCACATGTTATATGCATTTCCCATCACAATTAATACGTGTGATAAAAAAGGATTAGACATATTTGAAGAATAATCAATATTATTTTTGTATGCATTTGAAAAATGTAATACACAATATATATACTATCATTTGAATCACAACCACATATTGAATGAAATAATGTTATATGTTTCGTAAATGAAAGTTGAATGCTCAAAAGTATATACAAAGGAATTAATAAAAAAAAAAATTTAACTGTGATTACATATATTAAAAAAATGAAAAAACTTGAACCACGAAGTCCTTGAATTCTTTGACCATATTTTGCATCTCTCCAAGTAATTTCTGACCTGAAAAATGAAAGCAGAAATTAATTCAAAGGCAAAATTTGCATGTTCTTTAGAAATTACGAATGCATTTAAACCAATAAAAAAATGAAACATAACAAAGAAAATCCATGAGCATCAAATCATCCATCTTGTTGTGCCCTTGGGTCAATATTCACTTATCCACATGCAAGGGAAAAAAATCTCCCACATGCAGGAACAAATTTAGTAGTCCATGCCAAAACTGATGGACATGACAAATATGATAAAAAAAATTCTTATTTTTTTATGACATGACAAATGTTGTAGTCCATGGTGAAACTCATATTACACCTAATCCTACATTCCTAAACATGTATCAATGTTTACATTAAGAAAAGCATAACAATAGAAAGGATAACAAACTGATTGAATATTAAATTAAATTCCTATGAAAGCATGATTGATAGTATGTATATTGTTTTGCATCCTATACATGGCATGTTATGTTGTATGGTAGAATAACAAACTGAGTGAATATTTATATACAAATTAAACAATATAGAAATTAAAGCTCTATCTCTCTATTTCTTTCTCTAAAAAACAGGTCATCTCGCCAAATGGTTCAACAATTTTCATCAATTTTCACCAAATGGTTTAGCAATTAGAACTAACCTCTTTGTATCTCATAATAGTTCATCAATTTTCATCTCTCTCTAACCCATTTTCATCTATAAATTATGACACACTTCAATTTAAAATATCAAATTTAATAACTAATAATTTGAATCTGAATACATAAAGATATCCAGTTAAACTAACATAGATTGATGAAACTCTCATTAACCAATAAGAGAATTATAAGAAAATACAAAGACTTCTGCTAATGAGATTAATTAAAGCTTGAACAATATGATACTACAAATTCAAACCAATTAAGTCATGAATTTCAAAATCAATTAACTTAAAGAAAGAAATACAAATACTCAAGAAAAATCAAAGCCCAGGTTTCCACTTTCCCCTTTGTTTAGAGCAACAAAGAATCAAAAAAAGTGAACACGACCAAAAACAAAGAAATGGGACTGACGAAATCACAAAGAGAAAAGCATATCTCACAATAGAAAAATAAATCAAAACAATAAAGAAAAATGAAGAAGCAAATAAAGAATTGAAACTGGTGCGAATTAAACGAGACCCAAAAACAGAGAAATTGAAATTGTTATATACATTACAGAACTTCTCCATTATATACATTCCACACTAAATATTTGAACAAGAGAGAGAGAGAGAGAAACTCATCATGCCGGAGAACCATTGTGGTCAGCTTCGATAGAGATCGCCATGGCTAAAATTGTCACCACAGCTGGAGGAGTGACATGAAGTCCTAGAAAAAGTAAGAACACACCAAATCAATCAATGTCCTTTCCCTTCCCTCTCGTTTTCTGATATCACTTTATGAGGACATAACATATGCCTGGAGAATTGGTTGTCTTAAACATCATAGACAAGCTTCTATCTATAAAAGTTACAAACCACAACATGCATAGGATTCTTATTACTCGTTCTCAAACCCCTTCCACATCTTCAGTTGGTTAATTTTAAACATTTGAGCTTCATAATGAACAACTTTTATGAATAATAATTCAACCATAAACGAAACCGTAATGAATGACTTTTCATTAGCCTTACATTTTATAAAGTCCAAATTAACCTAATAACTCCATCAAATAATGCTTTCCCTTGCTCCCTTTGGAGTTTTTTTTTTTTTTTTTTTTTTTTTATCGGCAAGTGTTAGTTGTTAGTTGTTAGTTGTTAGATTAGCAGCTATAGGAGAAAATCTCCTTACCCTTAGCAAAGCACTTAAGTGCTTGCACTCCCTTAATTCAACCCCCCTAAGGAGAATTGAACCCATGACCACCTTAGGACTAATCCCTAAGGAAGGCATGGTGGCTAACTAACAACTAACATTTGCACCTATAAAGTTTATTTATTTATCAAAAAATAATGCTTCCCCTTGCACAACTTGTCAAATGATTCGATTACTAAATATTGTCAAATAATTTAAAAACATAATGGATTGCGTTTTTAATCTGGAAAGAATTGAGAACATAAAAATATGCCACCATATAAACATGTCAAACATCAACCAAAAATTCAAGACATGATATATACAAATTACTGATAATAATGCTTGGCGCAACCATATTGCACTTATTTCTCTACTAAAAATGATAAAAGGACCAAAAAATTCAATTACAACAAATAGGCAAAATTGAAAAAAGAAAATTGTTAAACCATACTCTTCTTTAACTGATCCATAGAGACCCCTCTCTCATCATAGTTGGATTCATTCGTACAAAAGGGAGGGTTGTGAACCCGTAAAAAATACCATGGATTTAGCAACCTCCAAGAGCAAGGCATGATAAATCTTTTATGCAATTGTTTTTACTCATTAAATTAGATTTATTTTAGGATTAAGAGATCATCACAAGAAGAACATGCATGCCCAATAGTCTCATAATAAAAAATAAAAAAAACAATGCCCAATTATCATATTTAACGCCAACATAAATCTCAAAATCAAAAAATGAATTCACTAAATGACACTTCCATGAAGATTGAAGTCAAACATAAACAAGTCTATTTGAACTCAACCGTTATTCAGCTCGTTAGAACAATTATAATCAATATAATAAGCTCCTAAAGCCCAATTTTAAGAATTCATGAATTGAAACAGAAAACAGTGTGAGGTCACTGAAATCACCAAATTAGCGATAGGCCATGGAAGGATTAAGCCCCAACAACATGTTGTTTGCATTAGGCAGGTAAGCCACATTCGGAGTCTTCACCAACGTCGCCGCTATCTCCCTCAAAGCCTCAATCATCCTGAGCTCGATCAAACCCATTCCAGCAGCAGCAACCGCAGCTGTAGTCGCATTCGAAATCAATTTCGCAGCTTCACTCTCACCTTCCGCCCTAATAATCGCTGCTCGTCTTTCCTGCTCCGCTTTGGCCACCACAAATTTTGACCTTTCTGCCTCCTGTTGCGCCACCAACTTCTGTTCCACGGCCTTGGAGAAATCAACCCCATACGACAAGTGCGTGATCGCAACATTATCGAGCACGATGAACCAAGCTCTCGTGGACCAATATGGAGACGCTAAGACGCTCGGTAAGGAGCTAAGCAGCGTTGAATTGAGCGACGATGACCTTGAGGACTTCATTGCTGATCGAAGAAAGGACTTTCTCGTCGTATTCGAGGCCTAAGGTTTGGAAGATTCGGGGGAATTAAGAGACCTCGGGGCGAGAAAGGACACGGAGGGTTAGGCTAACCATTTGGAGGTCCTTTGTGCTGGAGATGGAGGAGAAGGTGTGGGGGCGAGTTCGGATGTCGAAGATAAAGGGCTTTTGGAGCCATGGGATGAGTGTTTGTGAGAGAGAGAGATGTGAATAAGAACGAATTAGCTAGGGCTTTGTTTCAAAAAGAAAATGCAAAGAAAATTAATTGGAGAAGAGATCTATACGTGTTTAGAAAATTCAATCTTGATGGGTGTTTCAAAGAGTCATGGCCATCTCAATCATGTAGAAGATGTGCGAATATGGGAATAATTATTTTATATAAAAATTAAATTGAAAATTATATACAGGCGCTGTTTGGGAATGATGATTTAAGGTTATTATAGCCTAAATTGCAAAATTAGCCCAAAAGTAAATACTGTTCATAATTTTCCAAAAAAAAAAAAAAAATTTATAGGCTGCAGCCGGGCAGTGTAGGCTGTGCGTACACTGCCACAGCCGAAAATTGTAACATCATGGGCTAAATTACCATTTTGCCCCTTTATATCCAATTAAAAAAATATAATTTAGGGACAAATTTGTCATTTTAAATTCAAACATCATTGACATGAAGTCCTAGAAAAAGTAAGAATACACCAAATCAATCAATGTCCTTTCCCTTCCCTATCGTTTTCTGATATCACTTTATGAGGACGTAACATATGCCTGGAGAATTGGTTGTCTTAAACATCATAGACAAGCTTCTATCTATAAAAGTTACAAACCACAACATGCATAGGATTCTTATTACTCGTTCTCAAACCCCTTCCACATCTTCAGTTGGTTAATTTTAAACATTCGAGCTTCATAATGAACAACTTTTATGAATAATAATTCAACCATAAACGAAACCGTAATGAATGACTTTTCATTAGCCTTACATTTTATAAAGTCCAAATTAACCTAATAACTCCATCAAATAATGCTTTCCCTTGCTCCCTTTGGAGTTTTTTTTTTTTTTTTTTTTTTTTTATCGGCAAGTGTTAGTTGTTAGTTGTTAGTTGTTAGATTAGCAGCTATAGGAGAAAATCTCCTTACCCTTAGCAAAGCACTTAAGTGCTTGCACTCCCTTAATTCAACCCCCCTAAGGAGAATTGAACCCATGACCACCTTAGGACTAATCCCTAAGGAAGGCATGGTGGCTAACTAACAACTAACATTTGCACCTATAAAGTTTATTTATTTATCAAAAAATAATGCTTCCCCTTGCACAACTTGTCAAATGATTCGATTACTAAATATTGTCAAATAATTTAAAAACATAATGGATTGCTTTTTAATCTGGAAAGAATTGAGAACATAAAAATATGCCACCATATAAACATGTCAAACATCAACCAAAAATTCAAGACATGATATATACAAATTACTGATAATAATGCTTGGAGCGACCATATTGCACTTATTTCTCTACTAAAAATGATAAAAGGACCAAAAAATTCAATTACAACAAATAGGCAAAATTGAAAAAAGAAAATTGTTAAACCATACTCTTCTTTAACTGATCCATAGAGACCCCTCTCTCATCATAGTTGGATTCATTCGTACAAAAGGGAGGGTTGTGAACCCGTAAAAAATACCATGGATTTAGCAACCTCCAAGAGCAAGGCATGATAAATCTTTTATGCAATTGTTTTTACTCATTAAATTAGATTTATTTTAGGATTAAGAGATCATCACAAGAAGAACATGCATGCCCAATAGTCTCATAATAAAAAATAAAAAAAACAATGCCCAATTATCATATTTAACACCAACATAAATCTCAAAATCAAAAAATGAATTCACTAAATGACACTTCCATGAAGATTGAAGTCAAACATAAACAAGTCTATTTGAACTCAACCGTTATTCAGCTCATTAGAACAATTGTAATCAATATAATAAGCTCCTAAAGCCCAATTTTAAGAATTCATGAATTGAAACAGAAAACAGTGTGAGGTCACTGAAATCACCAAATTAGTAATAGGCCATGGAAGGATTAAGCCCCAACAACATGTTGTTTGCATTATGCAGGTAGGCCACATTCGGAGTCTTCACCAACGCCGCCGCTATCTCCCTCGAAGCCTCAATCATCCTGAGCTCGATCAAACCCATTCCAGCAGCAGCAGCCGCAGCTGTAGTCGCATTCGAAATCAATTTCGCAGCTTCACTCTCACCTTCCGCCCTAATAATCGCTACTCGCCTCTCCTGCTCCGCTTTGGCCACCACAAATTTTGACCTTTCTGCCTCCTGTTGCGCCACCAACTTCTGTTCCACGGCCTTGGAGAACTCAACCCCATACGACAAGTGCGTGATCGCAACATTATCGAGCACGATGAACCAAGCTCTCGTGGACCAATATGGAGACGCTAGGACGCTCGGTGAGGAGCTAAGCAGCGTTGAATTGAGCGACAATGACCTTGAGGACTTCGTTGCTGATCGAAGAAAGGACTTTCTCGTCGTATTCGAGGCCTAGGGTTTGGAAGATTCGGGGGAATTAAGAGACCTCGGGGCGAGAAAGGACACGGAGGGTTAGGTTAACCATTTGGAGGTCCTTGTGCTGGAGATGGAGGAGAAAGTGTGGGGGCGAGTTCGGATGTCGAAGATAAAGGGCTTTTGGAGCCATGGGATGAGGGTTTGTGAGTGAGTGAGAGAGAGAGAGAGAGAGAGAGATGTGAATAAGAACGAATTAGCTAGGGCTTTGTTTCAAAAAGAAAATGCAAAGAAAATTAATTGGAGAAGAGATCTATACTGTTGTTTGGTAACACTTACGTTTTCAGTTTTCTATTTATATTTATAAAAATTTAAAAAACTCAAATAAAAATTTGTTTGGTAAAATTTTTGATTTATAAATTAGTGATCTCAGTTTATAAATTTGGCCAAAAAATGAAAACACAAAAAATGTGTTTCCATTTTGAGTTTTCAATTTTTTTTTTTTACCACCCAACATTAGCCCCCCCCTGCCACAATTTTCCACCACCGTCTTCCGCCACAACCACCCACCATTTTCCACCACCTGCCACCATTTTTCACCACCGTCTTCCGCTACCACCACCCGCTATCATTTTCCACCACCGTCTTCCGCCGCCGCCACCACTCGTCACCACCCACTACCCGCCACCACTTGCCATTTCTCACTCTTTTTTGTATTTTTAAATTTTTTTAAATATTTTGTCA